GCGTCCTCTTAAGTTGTTTTTTATTTTATTTTAATTAAATGTTAATTATGTATTTTGATAACATTTTTATTTTTTTGTATTTTAATGAAATGTTTATTTTGTATTTTGATTAAAAAGAAGATTGATATAGTATACTGAATACTTTAGACTACCTATTATTTTTTTTACGCTTTACTATTTACTTTACACAATTTAGGTGCTAGATGATAGTGTACACTGTAGATCTGCAGTGGTCTTTAACAATTTGAATAATGGTAAAGTCCATATAATTCAGTAAAAATGTGGACTGGGCCTTRCTTAGTATACCCTCCTGAGGCCCAATGCCCATTATAATGGACAATTATTATCACTGATTTAGCGYCCAAGCTTAATTTAGTTTTTGTATTTTTATAAACCCGTTGTCCATTACAGTGGACATTTTCTCTTATCCCCACAAAAGCCCGCCAATTTTTCTTTGCTTATCTTATACTTCTATCAATATAACCTTAAACTAGTAATAATTTGGGAGRAAAAACATGKGTTTGATAATTTTTTTAAATGTCCATTGAAATAGACATTGGGATTGTAGTACTACAAAATGGAAATACGTGATGGGCCTCAGGAGGATACACTRTATAGTATATTGTATATATTTAAGTAAAACGTATTGGGTTGGTCTGGACCGTATATTTTAAAGGAATGAATCGGGCAGGGCCGGACCGTAAATCCAAGTGATATAAAATAGGCCGGCCCGGATATCATTAGTAAAATTGTATTTTGAACGGGTTTGGACTTCAAAAGTTGGTCCCGTGCGGCGTGCAGGGCTATAGTATACATAGATTAGAACCATAGTTGCGCCAAAATGGTTATCATTGAGATATCAATATTTATTGAATTGTTGAAGTGCATTACGGTCTAAAGGAAAAGAATATCATTGTTAGACTCCTCTTTTTCGGGGTGAATGACCGACAGTTTGACTTCAAAACATGTGATAGGTAACGGCACCTCTATAATTATCATGGTTTAAGATATCTTAAACCGTGGATACTACTTATATTAAAATTTGTAAAAAAAAGTTTTCAATACTTTAGTCACAAATTCAACGAATATATAATTTTTAAAAATCTTACCTTGGGTACTRGTTTAGAATTATTAAAAAGAATAAAAAAATAAAATATGAATAAATTAAAACAATTTGATTTTAAAATATAATATTCTAGTTATAAAATATAAATAATAATTTATAGGATTCTCCATTTCTCCTGGAAGACCAATACATAATCTATAATGGTCTATAATCTATTCTGTACCAAGTTGTTCAAATTATTGTATGATATATTATATTGTAATCTAGTGGTCTTAAATAATTTAACTAACTTGCCAAAGTATTGACAAAGACAATTATATCATGAACTAGACTTCCGCCTTGCACTTATTATTAAACTCGTATAGTTCGTAGACCGTAGCATATGATATTTTTGAAATAATTACTGTAAATTATTGAAGAAATAACAAGTTTTTTTTAAAAAACCACAAATAACTTTGTTAATATTATATTTAAAATRTAGGACGATATTTGTTATTTAATAAAAAAATTAAGTCATATTAACTATTAACTATCTTAAATTTAGGAATTTAAACTTAATACTAATTTAGTTTTGTGAAAGGCAGCWGACAGAMAATATTGTTATAATTCTCTAGAATAATTACAAAAGTGTAACATTGTCTTAAAATGTAATTATGTTAATTAATTTAAAAATTTAAAATTACTTTGCTTTAATTTGCTAAACATTGTGATTATTTTGCATAATATGTACTTTGTGTTTTCAACGTTGGTGTCACTGTCTACTACTTGTGATATTAAGTTTTTATCATTTTTTGACAACTATTTTTCTCYCATAGAAGTCGAGGTCTGGTATTTCAATACTCTGGTAAATGGTATAGTAACCGCGATGGCACAGCCGGCTTAACCGTCGCTATAGTCATGCCCGTCAAACAAAAACAAACGCGGTCCGCCATTTTGTAGGCATCATGCCTTCATAGTTCATCATATATCGTATAAAAAGCAGGCGGCGTTTCGTTATACGTCTTATTTCCCGTCGTCCGTAGTCCTTTCTCAGTTGTCAGCAGTAATTTTCAAATTATTATTATTATATAGCGTCATATACTCGTGTGTTACACAACGTTAAACTGGTCCCCATCGAAGAAGTACGTCGGCTCGATCAATCGTGTAGCTGTCTGTTAACGACATATTCATTCGGATTATGTGTTGTTGACGTCAAGACGTGTGACACTGTTGTACATTTTTAAATATTATTTCATCACAGTTGTTTATCAAAAACCGTCAAGCTGTCGACTAACGCAGTATCGGAAATGGCGTTGAGCACAACGGCCAGCCAACCGGTACAAAACAATGTCCAATCGTCTCCGGGATCCGGGTGGCCTAGGCGCACCGCACCAGTCAAATCATCTACGTGCCCATCGCTCAACAGACATATAAATTTGTTAGTATAAAATTGGGAACTAGGATAATTTTTGAACAGCTTTCGGATGTTCCTCAATGATTTCTACTATTTTTTTTTTTTTTTACTAGTTGTAATAGTCATCAATTAAATATTTTAAGACTATTGTATGTTACACTTATTTTCTATAGTGTAACTAGGTACTTACTAGATCTAGTATGATCATGAATGCACATATTTATAATATTAATAAATTGAATAAAAAACAATTGTTCTTGGTTTTATTTGGTATTTCAGATAATAATAATTTGTGTTTGTGTCAAATTCAAAATGAATACAATTGTTTTTGTAAACTGTGAATGTAAATTGAATCATAACTGTAAAATTTCATATTAAATGCCTAACAAAGTACTATATAAGTGTTGAAAAACTTAATGCTTAGTTATCATTATTTCTTTTGTTTTAGGTATCCTCTATCAAATTATAAATTTGGTACAAAAGAACCTTTATTTGAAAAAGATCCATCTGTACCAGCTAGATTCCAACGAATGCGTGATGAATTTGAAAAAATTGGTATGCGCCGAAGTGTTGAAGGCGTTTTAATAGTTCATAAACATGGGTTGCCGCACGTATTATTATTGCAGTTGGGCACAACATTTTTTAAATTGTAAGATCAATTAAATGTTTTAATTAATGACAATTGTGACATAGCCAAATGAGTAATGGCGAAAAACCTAAATATTATCAATTTAAGATTTTAATACTTAGCAAGATTTAAGAATTTTTTTTATAATCTTTTTAGGCCTGGTGGAGAACTAAATCCAGCAGAAGATGAGGTGGAAGGACTTAAACGATTACTAACTGAAGTAACTTYATATTTCTTTATCATTCATTGACAATTGTTTATACTTAAAAATATTTTAAAATATTTACTTTTATTGCATTTACTTATGTCAGACTTTAGGCAGACAAGATGGTGTTCAGCCAGAATGGACTGTTGAAGATACCATTGGCAATTGGTGGCGACCCAACTTTGAACCTCCAACTTATCCATATATACCACCTCACATAACTAAACCCAAAGAACATAAAAGACTTTTCTTAGTTCAGCTACCTGATAAAGGTAAGATAAATTTATAGTGAATCAAAACCCCAAGATTTGTGAGTATAAGTATAAAGAGTTATTTTATCAATTAGTAATTTCTAAGAAAACAATTATTATGAGGTTTATTCTTTTTTTTCCTAAGGTTTAATTTCTAAATTTATTATTTTATGTTTTGGGTCATAGTTGACATGCTCTGAAGTTAAATTTGAGTATTTTCTATTTTAACTTACGTGTATATTACATCACCTAAGACCTGTGTTAAATTACATTATATTATTTTATATTTCACAGTTTGCAATGGCAACATGATTTGCTGGTTCAGAAAGGATCATCCTGGTTGATTGTAAAACACCACATACAAGAAATGTATTTTTTTTTATGAAAATTGTCTAGGAAAATTCATAATAGGGGTTCCTTTTAAGATTATTGTTCTAATCACTGTTGTTTAATTTACATCTGATTTTAAATCGGTTGAAACTGAATACCAAAAAAGGGGCTTAAATTAATGTTAAGATGGTAATTAAAGAATGTATGCATTCTCTGACTGGGATCGAGTGCATTTTAAATGTATTTTCTATTATAATTAACTAATTATATTCTCTGGTATTTAAATTTATTTTCTGATTTACAGGGTGTCATAAATCTTTTATAAAATTCTGTAAAATACAAAGATTTGCTAAAAATCGCCTCATAATACCAATTTTCGGTTGTTTTTTTATTAACTAGATTCAAAGCAACCAATTTTATTCTATTTGTAAAGAACATTGAATGTTACTTTTTAAAATTTAAAGGTCAGTAAGGTTTACAATGTTTTGGCGTAAATCTTAAGTTAAATTTGATGTTGACACTCTGTATTTAGTTTTATTTTTTTTGTATTCAAATCAAATTATTGGTGGGATGATTTTTTGAGTTTTGTTAACATACCTTCATTTATAGGTTGTATAAATTAAAATGTTTAAGTTTTAACTATTTCCATTTTCTGAAATTTTATTATGAGAATGCGATTAACTGATTTGTTGTTGTATTATATGTAAAACATAACAAATTTACACTTTGCGTGATAGAAACTTTAGGGTTTAGGTTAATACTTAACAAAATGATAATATACTTAATATCTAATTTAAGTACTATCATCGTCATCTTCTGTCACAATGTTGTTTTTTTTGTTATATCTTAATTTTAAATTATGATATTTATGTTAAAAAAATTCGTTCTATAATTAATTATATTGTGTTTAGAATTAAAATATATACAAAATTAAAAAACTAACACAATTGATCACTTGATAGTCATATTAATCTAAACCCTACAGATTTACTGAAATAAAATATTTAAATTGATATGATTTACACTTATTCATAAACAACAAGAATATCATGTCTTTTTGAATGTACAGTTATAATATTCAATTTAGAATATTAAGAATGCATGTTATTAAATTCTGACAGAAAGTAAAACTAACAACTATGTTTACTGTGTATCTCGTTTTGTTTTAGTAGTTAAATTATAATTTTGTTGCAATTATTTAACTATTTATATTATGTTCTAATTTCCCATTATGAGCTATATGTTAAAATGGTTAATAATTAATAAATAAAGAGTAGTGTAATATGTATTAATTATAAAAACAAAAATTAATATGTATATTAATTGATATCGGTATAGTAATAATTGATTGGGGGCTTATTTTGTCAATAAATTATTTTAAAATATCTAATTATGTGTACAAGATTTGTAATGTTTTTAATAAAATTATTACATTTAAGATTATTTATCTAAATCAACTATTTTTCAGTTAAATTATTTAGTGAGATCATTGAAAATTAAAATTGTCCTTAAAGTATTAAAGAAAGTATTTATTTATAAACATTTTTACTTAGCCGTTGTTGGCATATATGTTTGTTAAAAATAATGTCAAGTGATTATTTAAATATATTAATCTGTCGGCAGCTAAAATAATGTATTAATTCCAATATTGTATTTGTAAGCATTTCAAAAAATTCCATTTAAACTTTAAAAATACAATTTAAGAACTATTGTACAAAGTTGTCATTCAACATCTGCTTATCCTTAAATTTTATCATGTACATTTGTTCTGTACAGATGTTTTTAATGAACATTAAAATCAATTGTAAAATTATATATAGGCGTAAATTGTTACACTTTTTAATTGAAATATACTATTCTATGTATTAAATTTATTGATTCATTTGTAAATTCAATAAGATTATATAATCAAACTTTCTGTTTATAAATTATGTGGTAATTTGATTGTTCTTTAGCATTGTTTGCTGTGCCGAAAAATTACAAATTGGTGGCAGCCCCTTTGTTTGAGTTGTTTGATAACGCTCAAGGATATGGATCTATTATTTCCTCATTGCCTCAAGCACTTGGAAGGTAATATTATTTTCACATATCTAATACTTGTAATATTTTTAGTATTTTCATTAACATGTATATTTTTTTTCAGATTCAACTTCATTTATATGTAATTTAGAACTTAGCTGTAGGATATTTTAAACATTTGCTGCCCATCAATCGTTGAACAGATTTTTCTACGATTTAATGTAATTGTAAAGTAGATTTATTATCAGTAAATTGTATGAATTGAGAAATTGTCTGACCATTTGAAACTATTACATACTATCGTCACCATTTTATGAAATATTATATTTACATATATACACCTAATGTTTTAAATTATTGTTGTGGGTTTTAAGTGATTTATAGCCATTGATTTTTGTAAATTGCCCAATTACCMATCAATCACAGTTTGATACTGTATTAGAATTTTAAATATCTATCTTAATTTTATTTTCATTATTGTTGGTTGAATAAATACATCAAACCAAATTCTCTTTACTGTATTATAATGATTTGTGTTATGGATTAACTGGTTATTTTTGTTCTATAATCAAATTAGTAATACACAACAAAATTACTGTGTCTGTATTTAGTAGATGAACCTTTTTTTTTTATTAATACAACATAATTCATATAATATTCTTTGATCTTATAGATTTTAATTTTGTGATTGAATGTCTTACGAAAAATGTATTTATTATTTTCAACATTGTATTTTTACTTCCTATCATAACTGTACTAGTTAGACTCATTGCCCTATCTGAAAATGCCTAGCTCGATCTAAACTTTATAATCTGGTCATGTTTTATATTTAAAAAATTTAAGTTGTCCATCCACGGTACCTAAAAATATGTAATTAACAATAATATACTACTATATTTTATATAATAATTTTGCCTATAACCTACTTTTATTTATAATTAATGATATCATCTAGGATAATAGTCCTTCGTATTTTATAGGATATTAATATATATTTGATTGATATATTATGTGTTTTTTACCTATCATGCTAACCCTTTTTTTCTTTGAATATGGTTTAGACTTCTACACTTATACTTTTTGTACTATTGATATTCAATTAGAATGGGTTTGGAAGGTGTGGTAGCTGTAGGTATAAATATGKTTGTTTAAAAATTGTTGTAATTTATAATAATCTATCATCAGGCAAGATTAATAATTTGTAAAATGGTCCAGACTCAAGTAATAACTGATAGCACATCATATTTCTGTATATTTATTATTTACATATTCCAGAAATCTGAATTTGAATAAATGTATTATTAAAGGAAAAAAGGGGATGAGCATGCTCGGATAAATTATTCTGTATAAGTTATTTTCAAAATTAACTTTCACTGTAATTGTCTTATTATATTTATTTTTCCAGTAGTGCGATAAGTGTGTATTGACATATTGTTGATTTGCTGTATTGCCTGTAATCTGTATTATTTTTTTTATACGTCTGTACCTAATACTGTGTATATTGTGTTTTATTGTCTTAAAAAATTGTCAAACAGAAATAATATAACCGATTTCTTCATTCATTTTAAAAAGGTTATCATAATTAGCTCATATTAATGCTCAGTGGTAAAATTTTATTTATGCGTGGCCAAACCTTATATAATTGTTGGATCTCTTATTAGCCCTTCTTCCTAGCTCTGCCGCTGCTCCAGTCTAATCATGGGTGTATAACTCTAAAATTATGATATTTTAAATGTCAACATAAAGAAAAAAAATATCATTTATATTTTCTAAATTTGCACCTTCGATCTTTTATGATTGCTTCACTATAGTTACTTTTTATTATTTCTTGATTGATATTTTTGTATGTATCAATTTATTGTGACCAGAGTATTGCAGGTCCACAAACAAACATTTTTAATAATGCTCTAATTAATTGCACTGTTTTAATGTGTATCATTACTGCATTTTATCTTGAGCAAAAACCTTTGACATAACGTACAGACATACAGTAGCTTCCATTACCTGTTCACTTTAACATAATTTATAATATTTATATATTCATAAATAAAAACATGTAATTAATTAATCATATTAACCTTTTCAAATGACTATTTCTTTTACTTTAATAGATTTCACTTTTTAAATTGTTCATAGACATTCCTTACAAGTACCCACTATATAAATTTTAATTTTTAAATACTGAAAATTTAAAATTGCCAATTTGTAAATTTTTTTTCGGAAAATGTTTATTTTAGTCAAATATCTAGTGACAAGTATCAATTATTTTTTATTGGTCTTTATATTACAATATTATTGAATATTAATAATATCATCATTATTATGTTATACCGTTATATGCGTTTTGAGCAACTTTGTAAATAGGTAAGTCGTAGCCATAATTTAATAAAATATTTTGTTTTATATTTAGACGAATGTTAATAATTTAACCTACACGTTTAAAAAAAATTAGTGCATTTATATGCTGATCGATGAATATAAAATGATTTTACAATGAAGGATAAACATTTTAATGATCTTTAGATCGTCGAAAACATAAACAAAAATAAATAATCGGACCCCACACGACTACTTGAGACTGGACCGTATACTCTTAAACTTCTCTGCATAACAATTACAGACTACAGTCAAAACTCTTTATAACGAATCTGAAGGGACCAAGAGATTTCTTTCGTTATAGAGAGATAAAAAAAAAATTTTTTATTATTTATGTATAAAGGTATGTGATATTATATATCAAACACATCATTATTTTTACATTATTTTATATATATTTACGTATTATATTAAATTATTATTATTATTGTACATACTTATTAAATATAATTTAATTTTTATACTATAAATATTTATACTTTATTTTAAATAGTCTGTCATCTTAGTTTGTACTTTTTTATTTTGCCAATACTGTTTTTGTATTTTTCTATGAATTTCTCCCATGTTTTGGGATAACTTTGGATCATCTTCATGAAACAAGTACTTTTCTAATAATTTAGCCGCATCAAGTGCTTGTTGAATACTTGGTATTACGACTTCGTCAGGTTGTGCTTCCTCATCTTCATCTTCCTTTTGCTCCTCCTCGCCTTTTGTCACTGCATTTAGGATTTCTTCATCAGTTAACGATATTGTTGTAACTAGATTCTCGTCCATTTCTACATAGTTTTGTATGTTCACGAGTAACAAAACTTTTCGCCCCTTTAATTCTGCATCCCATTTTCTTATTTCTTCTTCAAAAAGTATTGATGTCATCCACGCTGACTTATTTGCAACCGTGACTGGCAACCGTTTTATATTTTTAAAACATCGCGGGTTTTTTGATTTGCCTATTACCGTAATCTTTCTTTTTTCAGTGCCACTCATATTGGCTGCTACAAACGCAGTGATACGTTCTTTAGAAAGTTTACCTCCCACGCTTTTTTCCCCTTTGAAATTTAATGCTTTATCTGGTGTCATTTTGTAAAAAATACCTGTCTCATCAGCATTAAAAATATTATCCGGAGTGTACTTTTCATTCAATTTTGGCCACACATTAATTAACCAGCTGTTAGTAACATTCAAGTCGACATTTAGTGCTTCTCCGCTTATTTTCCCATAGGTAATATTGTGACGTTGTTTAAATTTCCCAAGCCATCCTTCCGAGGCCTTGAAATCTATAATACCAAGTTGTAGAGCAAAATGTTCAGCTTTAGTTTTCAAAACAGGCCCAGATATAAGGACATTATTACAACGTTGTTTATGGAACCACGTTAACATGGCCTGGTCCAAGTCTTCAAATTTCGGTTTCCTTATTTTTTTACAAGAACTTCCTTCTGTTTCGGCATGCAATATTTTATCCTTATTCTTCCAGATTGTAGCGACAGTAGATGGGCTGAATCCAAAACGTTTCCCGACATCAYTTTTTTTTCACCTTTTTCAATCGCACGTATTAAAGCGACTTTTTGATCAACACACAGTGCTTTTCTTTTACTTGCCATAACGAATGTTGGCGCACTAGCCGCACTACTGTGGCCATGTGTACAATGTTAGACATTACGTCGATAATAAAATTAACATTGTACCTGTTAAATATCGATAATAACGATATTAAAAGTAGATAATGATAGAATGTAATCTTTCTTGGAAATGTCGGCATTATTGCCGATTATTTTTATAGTTTATATATTATGTAATAGATACGATAACACGTAAATTGTATTATGAAACATAAAATATTGTTTCGTTATTGAGAGTGACTAATACGTTATAGAGAATGAATTGTAAATATTGTAAATAGCAAACCAACCATTATTATGTAATGTTTACGTTATATAGAGTTTTTCGTTGTAAAGAGTTTCGTTATAAAGAGCTTTCACTGTATTTTCAATCGTGGTTTACCTTCGGTTGTCACTTGTCATCCATTATAGTAATATACCCATGTACGCGTTACAATCGSAAAGTAAGCACCTGAGTCATGTTAATAAAAGCAAACCGGAAAAGCTTCTGAATAGTTGAAAATCGTAGCACTATTTCAACATTTTATCGTGTACTTGCACAGGGCACACACAACGTAAAATTGTAAGACCAATATTGTCCAATCAATCATCGCTCCGTTCAGAATCTAAAACATAATATATTAGATTTTATGGTTGCTTATAAATCTACATACAATTTGATTGGATAGTGTATTGGGAAAGTCAAATTTTGAAGTTTTCCAGTAATTTTAAAAACGGGAATGTTCACGCAAAATTGGTTTTAAAAAAAAATTGATTTTAGGTATTACTGGTATTAGCATAGGCGTAATCTGGGGGGGCAAGAGGGGGCAACTGCCCCTCCAGATATTTTATTGAGGGGGCAATAGTATCGTTTTGCCCCCCTTTAAAAGTTATAACTTATAATTCAATTTCTATTTTATCATATCAAAATTAAACAGCATAATGGTTTGTTTAGTAATTAATAATAATAGATTTATCTTTTCGACTTTTTGAGTGCCTTTTGAGATTATTATTTATTAACAGTATCATTATAAACCGAGCGCCTTCATATCGTAATACAAGGAATTGCAGATAGATGACAGTGATGGCATGGCGGGTTATTAGTTATTACCACAATAGCACAATGCGAACTAAGATTAGTTATATATATATACATTTTTAGTTTAACTACTGCTTGCCCCCCCACCCCCAGGATTGACTCCAAGTTACGCCACTGGGTATTAGTATAGGTAATTAGGTACCTAACTATAAAACAAATTACCGTAAATACATAAAAATTTTCAGTCTTTTTAATTTATTTATAGACATTTGAAATTTTCCGGTTTTTTTAGTTTCTATTATTTTATAAATATCAATACAATTTTATTCATTGAGTCAAAAAACTTGAAAATTGTATACAGGGTTCTTCATAAGTTGATATAATAGCAGTTGGAAAATATTAAAAATACACACGTTTTATTTTTATAACCATTAAGTTCAAATTTTCGCTGCAACTCGTTTTCGCACGTTTGAAGTTTTTTACCTGAAAATCGATCAATTGTTTACGCATAACGACACACATGTATAGGTGTATCGCTACAGACTGGCAGATTGCAATACAATTACAAACCACAGAATAATATATTATAATGAAAATATTCTGTGTACACCGTATGAAATATTTGATAGCAATATAATGACCGATTGTGTAGATTAGGTATATCATTTTGAAATTTTCAAACCTAAATACTTTTAGTACAGTTTCAATATTTATGATGATCAGTATTAAGATCAGTAATTATAAATTCAAGTAAATACCATGTTCTAATGAGTAGATATTCAAATTTTAGATGCACTAATAAAAAATGTCCTGCGAGTGTTATTGTTAGTAAATTAAACAAAATTATAAAAGTAACCGACATTCATTAGCATGAAGTGTAACATAAGATAATTTTACAACAAAGTGAACAAACTTAGAACACCGCAATGATGTAAAATGTCTACGAAGATCAATGTATGAATCCAGAACAAAAACATTATCAGCATTGACTTAAGCCAGTTAAAGTGCGAAGGAAAATGTGTGGGCAAACGAGTTATTATGATAGTAAGGATTTTTGTCACAGGTAGCTAAAATATTTGTGCGTAAACGAGTTGTAGCCCAAATGTTGACAAAATTTGTTTAATTGAAAATTTAAAAATTCTTTAGTTGTTAAAAATTAATAAAAATTTTAAATTTTATAATTAAGGATAAAAAATACACGATCAGTGGTAAGATCATTTTGGATGAAATGTAATGTATCAATAATTGAATCAAAATATAGAGTCTAAAACAGTGTAAAGTGCGGATGAATGAGATGACCAGCGTGTATGGTATCTACTCGTTTTAATCGACGCAAAGGTTTGCCGGGGTATCTTTTTTTTTTTGATACTCAGAATAATATCCAACTCGATTTTTACTGCTTCCGATGAAATCATAAAGCGTTTCTAAATTTCCAAAAAGTTCAAGAGCTACCACACAGGTACTTACTGCATCTATATTATTATGAGATTAAATCGATGTGGCCAACACCAAACGTAAGTATCTCTAGGGTTTTCCTTTTAGATAATTGCTTGAAGTCCTCTATAGGCTACTCTCATCGATGCAGCACCGTCATAAGCCTGTTCAATCAAGTGTTCTTTCCAATTTAGGTTCATAACTTTACAATTTTTTTYAAACATATGGTAAAAAGGTGATCTCCAGTTGTGATTAAAGTTTCACGAACCACCACTAATCTTTCACAGACCAATCCCGAATTTTGATTTATGTACCTATGTATCTAATAACCAATGACAGCTGTTCTTTTCGTGATATGTCAAAAGTTGTTTCTAACGAAACACTAAAAAATGTAGCACTTAAAATTTCTTTTTGTATCACAATACGAATATTAATAGATATACTTTGTATTAACTGGTTTTGTTTTTGCCAAGATAAAAAGTTATGTGTCTTCTTCCCTCTAATTTGTACTTGAGTCTTCTGTAATATATGAAGCCAAAGCTGGAGAATATTTTGCTAAAAGCAAAGCTAGATCTTTAAAATTACCTCTCAATTCATCTTGCCATCCTKTATGCCCTCTAAAAGGAAGACATTGTCTACCAAGAAACAAGTCAGGTCTACTAAATGGCTAACTAATTYTCTATTCATAGCAACATTTGACCCATTTGAAATAGGTCGAAATAGGCTATTTCATTCTATTATTGATGGTAAAAGAGGAAATGAAGCTTCTTTGTACATAGCTTTAATTGATGCTGTTATATGCTTTTCAGAGGTTTCATGAATAATAATTTTAGCAACTCCATTTTTCCAGTTTAAAAAGCGTTCACGTTACCAACTCTTATTTTCATGATTTCCAAACAACAGTGTAGAGTATACTTTATATTTTATTTTTAAAAGTTAAACATTGTCGTTAATGTCTTATTAATAATATTGATACTTTATTATAAATTGTAACTTATACTTATATTACGAAAGTCGAAAAACCGAGTGAGTGTGCCGAGTGTGGTTATAATTATTATATTTATATAATAAAATATATATAAATATTTATAATATTTATATATTCATTAT